TGGCTCTTTTACGGCTATCGGCTAATTTTTTTCAGTTACGGTTAACAAAAAAGTTAAAAATTAACTTCTTTTGTTTCAAAAAGTTAAATATTAATTAACCTGTATTTTTTGTATCTTTAAAGCAAAATAAAGGTCTTCAGATCATCTCGGGATGTGAAACAAGCTATTCTTTTGAAAAATTTTAACATTTGATAGATCGTACTTTTTATAAAGTATTCCACTTCTAATATTATTTTGCACATAGAAATGTCAATAGTCAGTTTAAAAATAATCTTTGTGAAAAAGCAAAGCACACACGCGAACGTCGACCTCAAGGCCGGGGCGCGACATTCATTACAACAGAATTGGCCGTTTTCACACTAGAGACGGAGGATTATTCGTGTGAGACGGGTTATCCGTTTGATGATTCGCGTCAGATAGGTAAAAACGTCTTAATTTGAAAATGGAATAGTCTTAATTTTGAATGAACAATCCGCCTGACTTTATCCTTCAATTTCGACGGACAGTTTGAAGACGGGATTATCCGTTTCAAGATAGCCTGTGTACAGCCGCCCCCTTCCCTCAGAAAAAAATCGGAGAAGGGGTGTCTGTCGGGGAGGGGGAAGGGGGCGACTGTACACAGGCTAGTCCCAGATGGATAATCCGTTTCTAGCTCTAGTCTGAAAACGGCCAATAACAAAATTCCCGTGTCCAGTGTTTTTAACGATAGTGAAGGACTGTACGGAACCACTGTCAGCCGTTGCCTTGTCCGTAGGCCTCATTATTTCGCGCGGCTAATGCGTTTCTGGTCACGTGGTCCGAGCGAGTTCGCCACCGAAATGCCTTGACCGAGATTGCGTTAGAAGACGCCGTACAGGGACTAGGCATGGCAATGTCTAACGTAGCGTCAGAGAAACATAGGGAAATGTTGTTTATCGGCAACGTGTTTTACAAACAGTGAGATCTCTGCGTGTTGTTTCACTAATGTTTCGAGGGCACTGACTTCCTGAAAATCGCGAATATTAATCCCCAACAAGAAGCCACACTTTCTCTATGGAAAGCGGCAGCGGGGGAAATGGAACCAGGGTCTTGGTCAACACCTAAAAAGCGCTTTACCTAACGTGCGTACGGAGCCACACTAGCCGGGAAATAAAAAACGCAACCATAAGTGAGTTTAGTACCGGAGCAAATCTAGGGAACAATTTCTTTTACGGTTAACTTTTTTTTTACCCTATTTACGGCTAACGGTTAAAATTTTTCAATTTTTACGGCTATCGACTAAATTTTTGGCCGTTTTACGCCTATCAGTTAACCCCATTGAGACCCTCTAATAAATGCATGGACTAAGATTTCACATGTATCTTGGCTTAAGTACTTGCGGATTTTAGCAATATTTCTCAAATGATAGAATGATGATTTACAAATGTTCTTAATGTGCTCCTCAAAACTAAATATGCTATCAAACTGAACCCCTAAATTACGAACAGAGTCACGAGGTGCAATGCACTCAGAACCAACAGTAATGTGACCGATGTCAGGCATAGGATGGAATCTGGAACTGATGACTACAAGGTCCGTTTTGTCCTGGTTCAGTTTAAGATAGTTTCTTATCATCCATTCATCAATGTCCCTCACACAGCATTCCACCCTCAACTTCACTTGTTGGATGTCATTCAAGCTGGTAGATTTAAAGGTAATATATAATTGGGTGTCGTCAGCATATAGATGGTATGATAGTCCATGATCATTTATGCACTTGTCTACCCCTACTTAAACTACGGTTGCATTCTGTGGGGTAATAATTACGAAGCTCCAGTATAACAATTGGTAAAGCTACAAAGCAAAATTGTAAGAGTTATTAATAACGTTCCACTTCGTGACCATATTACGCCTCATTATGTAAACCTTGGCCTAATTAAGCTTCCTGACATTATTAAGCTAAATACTTGCCAACTGATTTATGATCACTTTGTAGATAAAAAACCGTCTAATTTCACGCTGTCCCTGGTATCTGAGCAACATAATTATGACACAAGAAGTGCATCCCTGCAACACCTAAATGCCAGTAGCCTTGGTATAAATATAAGAAAATTCTGTTCAACAGTTATAGGATGCTATTATTGGAATAATATTCCTTTATCTATACGTGAAAAGATAGCTAAAAAATTGTTTAAAAGAGCACTTTTCAACTATTATATAGCTTGCTCAGTATTAATCATCGCCGACACCGACTCTCAAATGTTATCTTTTCTATGTGTGTGTGTGCTTTTCTTTTTTCCTCTCTTTTATATAATTTTCATAGTTTATAGAGTTTATACTGTTATCTTTTTTTTTCTCTTTTAACCTAAATAAAACTGTAATTTAATCAAAGGGCAGGTAATTAGTTTAACTATATCCTGCCCTCTCCATTTATTCTTGTAACTTGATATTTAATTCTTCATGCAAATAGCATCTTCATCTTCAAATCTTGTAATACAATATAAATGGCTTGTAAAATAAATAAATAGAGGAAAAAAATAAACAAATAAAGTTGTTTTAGTTTTTCGTACAATTAAAAATTTAATTAGGACCCGGTATATATCCTTATCTACTGTAAATATTGAACAGAGCTTCGTGGCCATTTTCTTTTATTGTCTTAATTTTTTTTTTTCACTTTCAACCTCCGTTTTTTTCGTGACCCTCCTTATTTTCTCGAAACACCTAAATCTGATAAGCAATTTCCAACAGCTTGCATAAAGCCTCTTCTCTACGGCCACTCTCTGTTATCCTAAATTTCTCTTTTCACAACTGCATGGTCTACCCTTCGAGATAAAACAAGTTCTAATTCTTTCCCTATTCCAAAAAAAAGAAAAAAAAACGTGGCTCGGAAAACATGTCGTCTCAAAACTCAAAAGTTAATTGTGTCCATGACATGTTAGGAGCGTCGAGCTCAATAATTATCTTATCTCCTATCTAACTAGCTGTTTTAATAACTGCGACAGAGGTGCGTGATATAGTTTCTTTCATATTGCGGTAAAATGTGAAAACAATAAAAGAGAACTAGAAGGAATGAACACAAAAAAAAGGAGGTCATCAGTGAAGATTCAATCCCGTTTTCCTGATGATTTCAACAATGGAACGCGTCTGAAATCGGGGAATTAGGAATTTAATCGCACAAAGCCATCCCCGCGTGGAAACAACAGATACAATTTCACCTAACAAAGATATCAACCATGTCTTAATGGCGCATATACAGGAAATCGCTTAGAAAAGAAAACCCACTTTGGGTGAAAGAGATGAGCAGGTGTGTGGCTATTTTGTTTAGATGACTCAATGAATTTCAGTATAAATAAAGGCCTCCCATTAGTAGAAAGCAACTCACTGTTGAGGCATATAACTCGGCTTGTTTATTGTTGATTCATTATAAGTCACGGAGAGTCAATCATGGTTTTTGTGTTTAATCCTTAGCTTTGGCTTGGTTGTACTGTCAGACGCGCAAAGACCGCCCTATATTCCACCGCCTGAAGTTGGGAGAAAAAGGAACGCTGAGGACATACTTCAGGTAAATAGACTTTTAGACTTAAGGACGTAGGTTTTTTCCATAGCCATAAATTTTCTGACTTATACTAAGTCATATGAGTTTAAAACCATATCGTACAAAAAAAATTGTTTTGTAAGGATCTACTTTTGTAAGTCTCATTTCTCCGTTACGGATGTCATTTTGAGAGCAATCTGGTACATTTTCTTTGTCCAGTAACCCAGCTTGTCGCGGGGTAAAGATAATGAGGCAAAAATCTTAGTGCCTTGTTGTCTTAGTGCGTAACACTATTTAAAGAATCGTAACTTTTTTCCAAGGAAATCGTACGCAATGCAGATGAAGATAGACTCTCGTATCTTCCGCCGATTGAAATGGGAAGAAAGCGAGAAAGTAACCGCCGACTCATGATGGTAAGTCCTTTCAGGCTTGACACGTATTTAATTTGCGTTATTTCCATTCTCAGTATCGCTTTTGCGAAGAGTTAGACTTTTGAACTGGCACCAAAGGAAATTTTTAACGAACCAAGAAAATGAAAGAAGGCGGAAATGCCCCGGTCAAATTATTAGTATTCAATCTTTTCAATTTGTTAATAAGTAGTCATATCTCTACTCTCTTCTTATTCGTTAATTTCTGTAATTAATAGTTATTCAACTGTTTGCGGGCAAAAAGAGCGCCGGTTTTTGTATTCAAATCGATTGATAGCAGATTCGAGCGTAACATTAATTATATTATTGACGTCATACATTTGTCCTGCGGGGCCATCAGCTTAACTTGGGACAAGGCTAAAACTGAAAAATTGACAAACGGGCGGGCGGAAGGAACCGAGCGAGAGACTGGGGGAAAGGTCAGCGTCCCCAAGTACCCACTCCCTTTTAATTTTTCTCTCGCTGTCTCGGCCTATATTTAACCCATGGAGGGCCTGTTCACGGGCTACTATCAGCTTGTCACATGGACCTCGATTTAGCAAACCGAAATGAAGGGAAACATAGGAATCGCCATTCACATATTAAATATTTAATAAAAATTTAAATAGTTCTTTTCAGAGGCTTTATTTCGTAAATTGACAGCTCAATTTGATCAAGAGCCTTTGATTGAATGAATTCATATTGAGGCAAATCTGGTGATCGCAATCCAGGCCATATAGCAATGAAATTGTGAATGATTGCCCTATTAAAAATTCAAATATATATTTTTTTGTTTCAGAAAAAGCAACGATATCATCACCATCAATAAATTAAAAGATCTTACCTCTAAAGTTTTAAATGAAAAAACTGTATTCTTGCCGTTACTGTAAAATTTAGATGGGTTATCTTGAAATAAAAATTAAAAGTTCATTCAATCTGTTGTGTGGTTTTTGTCGCCTGTTTCCATTAAATTAACAAACTACGTCAATCGACTCCCCCATCTGAGTTAACCCTTTAATTTATGCCCTAGGAGTGGTCAGCATCAAATTTCTCCTTGTAATGTATAAATCCTTCAATGCTTTGTAAAACAGAGTGGACATGAGAATTGAATCCATGATCAAGGAAGATGAGTCTAATTGATATTTCAACAAATTCTCCCCACTACTTCTATTGAAAAAGTATAGGCCAGTAAATAAGAATCTCAATTTTGATATTAGGGTTTAAACGGTTATCTCGTCCCCAGGGTCTTTTCATTGTCCATTTTTTAACAAGGAAAAGGCCCTAGTGACGAGGTTCTTAGTGTAGAGGGGAGGGTACCTGCATTCAGGATAGCGGCATTTGTTATTTCACTGCATTACACACAATATTGTTAATACAACCGGTGTCATTTTGGGTGTCATGATCATTTGAGCAGACCAGTTAAGAATAGAGCCAAGGGTTTATTGTTTCTATGCCTCGGTTGTCATCGCCGTATCTTCAGCGATATAATAGTCGTGTGTTAAGATCCGAAAATGATTATTCACTCCTTCATAAAACAAAAGCCATTCCCAAAGACAACATCCTCGCAGGCAAGAAGCTTTACCCAATTTCCACACATTTGAGAATCATATTTGGTGTCAGTAATTGGTGAACTTCACAACTGAAGGATTAACGTGACCCATTTGCCGACAGAAGGCAAGTAAATGGAATGAAGAAAAAGCAAAGAACATTCATCACCCCGGATTATATTGCGGTCAAATTAGACGTGGCGTCTTTCAAAGGCTCACCCGCGTTGCCTACTGTATATCTCAGCAGATTTCCTGTAACGAAAGAGTAGGTACTTTAAGTAGCGGTAGGTACTTTAGGGAAAAAAAGGAACGCTGAGGACATACTTCAGGTAAATAGACTTTTAGACTTAAGGACGTAGGTTTTTTCCATAGCCATAAATTTTCTGACTTATACTAAGTCATATGAGTTTAAAACCATATCGTACAAAAAAAATTGTTTTGTAAGGATCTACTTTTGTAAGTCTCATTTCTCCGTTACGGATGTCATTTTGAGAGCAATCTGGTACATTTTCTTTGTCCAGTAACCCAGCTTGTCGCGGGGTAAAGATAATGAGGCAAAAATCTTAGTGCCTTGTTGTCTTAGTGCGTAACACTATTTAAAGAATCGTAACTTTTTTCCAAGGAAATCGTACGCAATGCAGATGAAGATAGACTCTCGTATCTTCCGCCGATTGAAATGGGAAGAAAGCGAGAAAGTAACCGCCGACTCATGATGGTAAGTCCTTTCAGGCTTGACACGTATTTAATTTGCGTTATTTCCATTCTCAGTATCGCTTTTGCGAAGAGTTAGACTTTTGAACTGGCACCAAAGGAAATTTTTAACGAACCAAGAAAATGAAAGAAGGCGGAAATGCCCCGGTCAAATTATTAGTATTCAATCTTTTCAATTTGTTAATAAGTAGTCATATCTCTACTCTCTTCTTATTCGTTAATTTCTGTAATTAATAGTTATTCAACTGTTTGCGGGCAAAAAGAGCGCCGGTTTTTGTATTCAAATCGATTGATAGCAGATTCGAGCGTAACATTAATTATATTATTGACGTCATACATTTGTCCTGCGGGGCCATCAGCTTAACTTGGGACAAGGCTAAAACTGAAAAATTGACAAACGGGCGGGCGGAAGGAACCGAGCGAGAGACTGGGGGAAAGGTCAGCGTCCCCAAGTACCCACTCCCTTTTAATTTTTCTCTCGCTGTCTCGGCCTATATTTAACCCATGGAGGGCCTGTTCACGGGCTACTATCAGCTTGTCACATGGACCTCGATTTAGCAAACCGAAATGAAGGGAAACATAGGAATCGCCATTCACATATTAAATATTTAATAAAAATTTAAATAGTTCTTTTCAGAGGCTTTATTTCGTAAATTGACAGCTCAATTTGATCAAGAGCCTTTGATTGAATGAATTCATATTGAGGCAAATCTGGTGATCGCAATCCAGGCCATATAGCAATGAAATTGTGAATGATTGCCCTATTAAAAATTCAAATATATATTTTTTTGTTTCAGAAAAAGCAACGATATCATCACCATCAATAAATTAAAAGATCTTACCTCTAAAGTTTTAAATGAAAAAACTGTATTCTTGCCGTTACTGTAAAATTTAGATGGGTTATCTTGAAATAAAAATTAAAAGTTCATTCAATCTGTTGTGTGGTTTTTGTCGCCTGTTTCCATTAAATTAACAAACTACGTCAATCGACTCCCCCATCTGAGTTAACCCTTTAATTTATGCCCTAGGAGTGGTCAGCATCAAATTTCTCCTTGTAATGTATAAATCCTTCAATGCTTTGTAAAACAGAGTGGACATGAGAATTGAATCCATGATCAAGGAAGATGAGTCTAATTGATATTTCAACAAATTCTCCCCACTACTTCTATTGAAAAAGTATAGGCCAGTAAATAAGAATCTCAATTTTGATATTAGGGTTTAAACGGTTATCTCGTCCCCAGGGTCTTTTCATTGTCCATTTTTTAACAAGGAAAAGGCCCTAGTGACGAGGTTCTTAGTGTAGAGGGGAGGGTACCTGCATTCAGGATAGCGGCATTTGTTATTTCACTGCATTACACACAATATTGTTAATACAACCGGTGTCATTTTGGGTGTCATGATCATTTGAGCAGACCAGTTAAGAATAGAGCCAAGGGTTTATTGTTTCTATGCCTCGGTTGTCATCGCCGTATCTTCAGCGATATAATAGTCGTGTGTTAAGATCCGAAAATGATTATTCACTCCTTCATAAAACAAAAGCCATTCCCAAAGACAACATCCTCGCAGGCAAGAAGCTTTACCCAATTTCCACACATTTGAGAATCATATTTGGTGTCAGTAATTGGTGAACTTCACAACTGAAGGATTAACGTGACCCATTTGCCGACAGAAGGCAAGTAAATGGAATGAAGAAAAAGCAAAGAACATTCATCACCCCGGATTATATTGCGGTCAAATTAGACGTGGCGTCTTTCAAAGGCTCACCCGCGTTGCCTACTGTATATCTCAGCAGATTTCCTGTAACGAAAGAGTAGGTACTTTAAGTAGCGGTAGGTACTTTAGGGAAATAGGCTTAAAACTCATCCCCTTGATTAGGAAATCATATAAACGAACAGGGAACTGTCATCGAGTTGTTGATGCATGCGAGAGTTATAAAATACCAAATATAAGCAAAAGTGTTGCTCGAACATAACCGAGAGCAACTCTAGCTGCTGGGCAACAAAATACTAGAAGTCTATTCTACAGACAGTAAATATTTTATTAAAACACTTTGGGGAAAATGACCGTGAAAAGTTGATGTCTCTGCCTGTTTTAATCTCGATTTTCTTTGTTGTTTAAAAACAATCCACCTGTACGGTACAGTCAGGTGATACTGGTCAGCGGATGCCCTGTTTTGATCGCTGTCAATTGATTACAACAATGATGTGCAGTTAGTTTTCTCTGGGCTCCTAAACTAGCTAGAAAGTGTGAGAGTAAGAATTGGTTTCCCTGTGGTGCGGACGGACGCTCAGTCGCTCGTTGTGCGGTCACGTGATTAACAAATTTTCTGGGATGGATAGATTTACTTAGCTGTAGGGCTCCGCCACGCGCGGCACTTCGCGCCGCGCGTGGAGCCCCGCTATTAGAAGCATTAAGACATCTCTTTAACACGGCGTTTTTAACTCGATGAGTTTGCGGCACTGAAGGTCGGGACTGTTCAATAAAATTCGAACTGGGCGTCCCAGTCTTCACAGGGATGGAGCGGCTTGACCAAGTCTAATATTCAGGTAGTTAGTGTGATCAGCGGAGTAATAACGAGCTGTCGAAAGCTTACTTCATGATTTTCTCCCAGTCCAGTGTCTAAAGTTTAACATTTAGATGAGTGTAATAAATTAAATCGAATTAAAGCTTTTGCATTAAACAGTCATTGAAATGCCCCTCTCGTAAAAAAAGTATTATTCTGATCTCTGATGGTGTTTATTTCACGATAAGTAACATTTTTCGAGATCTACATAACCAGCTAAATTATTTATTAATGGTTTTATCATTCATTTAAAATAAATTCATTTTCAAGGCGTGAACGGATGTGTGTGTGTTTTTATATTTTCTTTCTTTCTTTTTTTTATACAGGTATTTCTCAAAGGGGGCCTTTATTAAACATTCATAGAGCAATATTTTGGCGTATTCTTTTATAATTTTTAGTCAGTAAATCTGTTATATGTTCTTTATACACTTGAGTTCTGCACTATTGCCAAAACAGGTAAGCTACCGCCTGCTCTCTTGTCTTGCGAGAAGTCAATTAAGGTACAATACACAATTATTCCATTCGCGCTTGTTGGATACAGTTGGCTATCACTATCTTCTTTCCTTCAAGCGCAAGTGGAATGATTGTTTTATTAAAAACAGCCATTTTTTTACAGTCACTTTCAGGCGAAACATTATAGGATTTTACTCTGCTCTAGAGCCAAAAAAATCGCGGGAAATGTGACCAAAAAGAAGTTTTACTGAAGCCGTAGCCTACGTGAATCTCAAGCGCGCAGTTGCAAACTTATTCCCTTGTTTAGCGTACAGCAAACTCGTGCAAAGTTGAAACCTTCTTTATGAAGTTGTTTTGAGGCCACCAGCTGGTTTTGCTGAACGAGAACTGAAACTATACTAGTCAGGGGCCGCGGAGGGGGAGGGGCTGGTAGGGCCGCGGCCCCACCACTTTTTGGCACTCCCGCCCCCACTTTTTGCTCTAAAAAGAAAAATAATTAAAATAAAAAAAAGACTTGAAACAAGTTTTTTCCGTCTATATTCCGCTATATTCTCTGTATTTTCTTTAATTTCAAACGCCAGGCTTTTTGTGGGGCTCCTGTGCTTTTCGCGGTAATTGTGCGGCGCCTGGGGCCGACTTGCCCCTTGATCAAACGCCATGCCTTGGCCACCCCTTCGCTTCGTTCGGCAGCGTGTTTTTTTTACTTCCAGCTCTTGCAGAGTTTTTTTATCAGACGAAATGCAGAAAATTACTAGCTTTTTCAAGCCAAACGAAGGTGAGTAGTTGTTTTGAGTTGATAAAAGTTTTATATTTTGTCTTTCTCCTTTCGAATCAATGAAATATTCGATGGCAAGAAGAATTACATAACTTGAACAGTGAACGGCCATAGTTAGAAATTTTTCAGATCACTTCACTGTAGGATTTTCTATACTAAAATTGTAATCGCGTCTTTTCTTGCATTGAATCTGAACTGACTGTGTATGTTGGTCGTTTATTAGAGTTATCTGCAAGCTCTTCAACTACTTGCAGTGAAAATGGTGAGTTTGAGTTTGACCAGTAAACATTTCAATATATTGTTAAAAGTGTCATTTTTTGGAAGTGCGAGTTGTTTGACTAATATTCGTTAAGTGTAATTGGATTTTTGGTGATGGGTTATATATTTATTCTATTTATAATATTCTACTTATTGTCAGCAATCCTGTAATTTAGCATTAGCTATAACAAAAGAATAATAAACACATTATTTATTTATTTATAAATAAAGTTGAATTTCATAGACTGTATAATAACTATGATATAATAACTATGCGTTTAATTTTGTCAGATGATTGTTTACCCGAGAGTGAGACCTGCGTTGATCAATCTGTTTCCATTGAGGGTAAGTTTATTTTTTCATTCATCCTTTTCGTTATTTCCATTGGTTTATAGGGTAGGGCACTTGTGAGAAAACACTTTATGTAATAAAACATCCTCATATATTTGTTATTTTAAAGATTTTGAGATACATATATGGTGTGTTTATTTACTCTTTAAACACGCCCAGCAATTGAGGTTCTAAGGCATTTGAAGCACGGTCCAAATTACTGTTTTGTGATTTCATTCAGCGCTACCCGATGAAGTTCTGATCGAGATCTTGAAATACACTTCTCTGGGGGAGATTATGAGCTCATTGTGCAGAGTTTCTAAAAGATGGATGAGGCTATGCGACACAGATTGTTTGTGGCAGATTGTCGCCATTGATGAGTGGATGATCCAGAAAATTGATCAACACCCAATGGCAATAATAATGTCCCATGCAGAAGCTTTCACCTATTTTTCCATGAGGAATGTCACCATAAAGTATTCGGCTGTGGCACTTTTACGTCACTTAGCCAATTCTTCAAAACTAGTTTATCTAGATCTAAGTTGGCAAGATGTGTTGAGAGATATCAATTTTTTGGGAAAAACTGTGTGTTCAAATTTAGAGTACTTACTCCTTGACAACTGCAAAAATTTGAATGCATATAGTGTCATTCAGGTAGTACAGCTGTCGTCTAAACTTAAACTGCTGTCTTTAAATGGCTTAGCCCTTTCGCCAGATAATGTTCAAGCTATCGCTCATTTAGAGCTATCCAGGCTTTTTAGTATAGGTTTAACAGGTGCAGTGTTGTCTTTAGAAACTGCCGAAATATTCTTTCAAAATCACCCAAGTCTACTATTTTTACAGCTTTCAAACCGTACTATTGACAAGCCAGGTTTTAGGAGGCTGGGTGCAAAATACGATGTTAGCATTTTTTTTATTCAATAAGCTATATATTGTGTATGCCATTATTGTTATCGGATATTTAGGGCATGTTTTGTAGTAGCTGTGATTAAAATAATCATGTATAATAGAACAACTACCTTATATGTATTCTTTTATTGGTTTATAATAAAAAATACATCAATTATTATCTTAGTTCCTTTTTACGAAAAAGACATTTCGAATGCGTCCAAAATTAACGTTATTTTTTGCATTTTCAATATTGTAGTTGTACACAATTCTACACCAAGTAATGCTGCGACCATCGAGTTGTCAAGTAAATGCATTGACCCTGTGGGTAAACCTCATCAACCACATAACTTCAGTTTCCCTAAAAAGAAAATCGGACAATGGAATCGCTCATTTAAAGCGAACTGGTTTAACGATTTTCCATGGTTGCATTATGTCGAAGAAAGTGATTCTGTCATTTGTTACGTCTGTGCACATCAAAATAAAAAAGGCAACCTTTCAACTGCAAAAAACAAAGAACTGACTTTCATCAAGGGTGGTTATTCAAATTGGAAAAATGCTATTGCCCGCTTTCAAGAGCACCAGAAGTCCAATTGTCACATTTTGGCATGTGAGCACCAAGTTGGTGTTATAGCGTCAAGTGGAAACATAATTGAGATGTGTAGCAATGCAGCCGACACGACCATGAAACAAAACCGTGCATGTTTCTTAAAAATAATTGAGAGCGTCCGATTTCTTGACCGGCAGGGCCTTGCTATGCAAGGACACACAGATGCTGAATCCAATTTTAACCAGCTCCTTAAATTGAGAGCTAATGATGTACCGTTGCTTACTGATTGGCTTCAGCGAAAAAATGACAAGTACACCTGTCATGAAATACAGACGGAGCTGGTGTCAATCATGGCAGACATTGTATCGAGACAACTAGTTACTAGCTTAGACAACTCCTTTTTTTCAATCCTTTGTGATGAATACACAGATGTCAGTAATAAGGAACAATTGACACTCTGTGTTAGATGGATTGACAAAGAACTAGAAGCGCATGAAGATTTCCTAGGGTTTGTGAATATTCCAAATATTCGTGCAGACACTATTGAAGCAGTCATTAAAGACGTGTTCATAAGGCTTGGGTTATCTTTTAGCAACTGCTGAGGGCAATGCTATGATGGCGCCAGTAACATGCTTGGTAGTAAATCTGGCGTAGCAACTAGAATTTTACAGATACAGCCAAAGCCCATCCCACTCACTGCCATGGCCACTCACTAAGTCTTGGTATAAAAGATGTCACCAAAGCCTCTAAAATATTATCAAACACCATGGATACTGCAAAAGAGATTACAACACTAATCAAGTATTCCCCAAAGCGTGAATGCAGTCTCGGACAAATCAAGGAAAATTTGGAGCAAGAAGATGAAAGCGACTCTGCTGCTTTTGGTGGTATTGTATCTCTCTGTCCAACAAGGTGGACTGTAAGAGCAGCCTGCTTTAGGCGCATCCTCGGCAACTATTCTGCTCTAATGGAAGAATGGAGGGTGTCCCTAGAAGATAAGCTGCAACCAGATGTTAGAGGAAGAATAGTTGGTTGTCAAGCACAAATGCAAACCTTCGACTTTTTCTTTGGGCTAAGTCTTGGAGAGAGGTTATTTTCTCACTCTGATAACCTATCTAAAACCTTGCAGTCGACGAGGATGTCTGCAGTCAGTGGACAACGTTTAGCGCAACTCACTAAGTCAGTACTAGAGAGCATCCGAAATGATGATAGCTTTTCAGCATTCTACTCAATAGTCCTTCGCAAAAGCAAAGATCACGCCATTTCTGATCCGCTTCTTCCACGAAAGCGTCGAGCACCTGCAAGGATCGAGGTCGGAAGTGGACAGCCAACCTTTCCCGAAACACCGAAGGACCACTATCGGCGCATCTACTTTGAGGCTATTGATCTGATAGTTAATGCCATAGAACAGCGTTTCAGTCAACCAAGCTTTACAGCCTATGAAAAGATGGAGTCCCTCTTACTAAAAGGTATCAATGGGGAATCCTACACAGCAGAGCTCGACTACATGAAAGTGTCATACAAGGACGACATCAATTTTGACTCGCTGAAGGCCCAACTTCATGTCCTGCGTCAGATTCTGAAGGATAAAGGTGCGATGGAATGCTTTGATGATGTTCTCTGCGAAGTTAAGAAGCTACCTAAAGAAGAACGAAGCCTAATTGGTGAAGCAGTAATACTATGTAAGATTTTGGCGGTCAACCCAGCAACCAGTGCTTGCTGTGAAAGATCTTTTTCAGCGGCACGTCGCCTGAAGACGTGGCTGAGATCGAACATGAAACAGCAGCGATTCAGCAACTTGACAGTACTTAATTGTCATAAGAAATTAACGGAAAGCTTGGACGTGATTCAGATCGCAAACACATTTGCTGGACGGAATGAAAATCGTATGAAGAATTTCGGTATCTTCACTAATGCCGACCTATAAAGAGCAACAAATACTGGATAAAGTATGCAAACTCACGCGACAGAAACAAATCAATTACTATGATTTTATTCCTTTTTTCGATTTTCAATATGAAAAACTTATTTTCAATTGTCAGCCCTCCCACTTTTCACCTTGCTCCGCGGCCCCTGCTAGTACGTGGATTAAATGAAACGAGTCCATAGCCCGTATTTATTGCTAGTGGTTGCTAGCCTGCGTGGCATGCGCAAAAAGAAGTGGGAAGGGGGCAGGGAGAAAAACGCTAAACCCCCTCCTTTTTTCTCTTTCTCCCTATCCCCTACCCCTTTCAACGCCTGCTACGCAGGCTAGTTGGCGCTTGTGATTTATATTCTTCTTGTCACGGTTTAATATTTCGGCGAATGGCTTTGCTTGATTAGGAAGAAACGACCGATGCTTCGTCTTCCCTCGTAGCTAATCAGGGTATATTTTGTATGTGTTTTTCGATGTATTTTCAAGAAACTTTAATTCCATACTCTATGTAGTGTTTGTCTTCCGTAGTAGGTAGTACGGCGAAGTTTGCATTTTCTATTGTTATAATAATTACAAAAACCTTCTCGGCTGCCACTATCCTCCGACAAGAAAAATTTCCTCCAAAACTGAAAGGATCGGCTTAGTTTACTTCAAAGCGGTGCAATGGTTTCTCAGTTGCATTAGCCTTTTCTGAAATATACCCCTGCATTTTCCTTTCACGGTTTCCATTCAGGGAAAATGTGGTCTAAAACTGAATGGAGCAGTTCCAGTTTACTGAACATTACCGTCAAATCATAAAAAGATGATGAACAAGCTTCAATATCTCACTTACTAGAAATAGTTGACACTACAGCTGCCCCCGCTCTGTATATTGTCGGTCAATAATATTCTTGGTCGCTGAGTAGCCTTTGAAATATACCGATTCATAATGAAGATTTTCTCACATATTCCATCCAGTAGGTAAGATAAAAACCAAAAACGCAAGGTTCCATGCAATGATTCAGTTTCGATTTACACAGCTTTACATTGATCTATACATTCCCAGTTTCGAGAATAGTTTATTCTAAACAATAAGACAAACATTTAATTAGAAGTAGGAGTTTGTCACTATTTCTCTTTCGCCTTTTTACATACAGTTCATTTTATTTGCCGAAAAGTAAGTCTTAGAAATTTAAAGGTTGAATCAATTGATGCTCGCGCGTAATAGTCTTTTAAAGAAGGACATCATATCTGTAAGCAGGTAATAAGTCAGCACGGCATCATTTAATTGTCGGCGAATTTCTGTAATCTTCCATCTTTCTCCTAGTGATAACCGTAGCTCTGATTCACTTGTCTTGCTTGTTTCTGGACCGGTTTTGTGGACTGAGTCTAATTTCCCCAAAGAGTGTCGGCCAAATTGTTTCCAATCAAAGATTTGTGAACTCGTGTCTGGCGAACTCTCCAAGTATTCATATATACACAGTTATACGCACCGTATAACTTCATCTGCGCTTAACGAGTGTCTTTTTGTTCATAACTTTCCAAACAGCTGCTCCACAGAATGTCACTGATAAATGTCACAAAATCTACCTATAAGCAGTCCCTTCGGGATTACGTCATCCTAACCATCTCTTATTTGCGGGCGCAAACAATAGAAACGTCATCATTACCCAACGATTCCATGCGACTCCTGTTCAAACAAATCGAGATTTTTCTTGGCATACTGACTGTATTATTCAACTGTAAGGACTTTTTTGAATATACGCGCGAGCTACTAGTCGTGCCTCCTCGGGATTTCGCCTC